GGCAAGAAAATGTAATAATTAAACCCTGCGGACTTTTATAGACCCAGAAATTTCATTTCTAGGAGCAACTCCGGATGGCCTGTGTGGTGACGACACAATCATCGAAATCAAATGTCCAATAACGGCACATAAAATAGGAATAGCTCAAGCTATTAAAACCAAAAAAGTTAACTTCTGGGTCCAAGACAAACAGGGTAGGATTGCTGTAAATAAAAACCATGATTGGTACCTGCAAATACAGGGGCAACTACATGTCACCAGAAAAAACATTTGCTTGTTCGCCGTATGGTCAAATCAAAATGAACTACTGAAAACAGAAATTATACAAAGAGATGATGAGTATTTTGAAAACATCATGAAAACTAAACTTCTTGCATTTTATGAAGATTGCATTTTGCCTGAACCTGTTGATCCACGACATACCAGAAATTTACCTATAAGGGAACCACAGTACATAAAAGATGCTATTGAAAAAAAAAACAGAAGAAAAAAGCTGATAAAGAAAATGAAAAACCATCGTCACCATCTTTACAAAGCTGTTACCAAGAAAATGTTGAACAAGCTCAAAACATAAGTCCCCATCAAGATGCATAAACATGGTTTTATAATTTTGACGTGGAACAACCAACATACTCGCGCTACTTAGATTTTGAAAGTTTTTAATATGTAGTGATTTTTATTTTTGTTATTTTTTATATATTTCTTTAAAAAACGTTACTGCCATACTAGGATATTTTCTTGTCCTGTGAAGGCAATTTAAAAACATAAATTGCACATGAACAAATATCCAGACCTGGAACAATTATTTGTAGACCACACAAATACTTGTTCCGTGTGGGGTTCGAACCCGCGGCTCTTAGCACTGCAACTAAATGCTAAGCCACTGCGCCATGGATCTGTCGTTGGAATAATAATATGTGTATAAGAAAAAAGGTTATCTCTCACGGGACAGATAATATAATATTACATCTTCCAATATTTGCACATGAAAGCGGTCAAAATCCTGGAATCAAGAGGTGTCCCTTCAAGAGGCTGAATAAAGCCAAATTGAGCTGCATGGGAATCTATGGGTCACATCATTAGCGAAAAATTGTAGTTCCAATTAAGCATATTTCTGTAGAAAACACGATTCCACAAAAGTCTATAAAATAATTGCAAATTAACCTCTGAAAATACTTGAATTCCCAATTTTCTTAGTTTTCCATAAAAAAATGTTGAGGATATTAAGTACAATTATGTGTCACATAACTATTTTAATTAAAATAATTCATTTTGTGACTTAGCCCATAATATCTTTACCGATGAGCGACTTCTCTGTTATTCCTACTAAATTTGACAGTGCTTGCTGAGCTTCAGTGGATCTGAATCGCGCGCTGACAAGGTTGTCATGTTATTGTTAAAATAATCGAAAATAATTATTTTTACTTATATGCCGAAAACTATCTTTTTTATCTACCGACTTCAAAAAGGAGCCGGTACTCAATTCGACTGTATGTTTTTTTTTTTATGTGTGTTACCTCAGAACTTTTTTCTGGGTGAACCGATTTCGATGATTCTTTTTTTATTTGAAAGCTGGTACTTCTCGTGTGGTCCCATATAAATTTGATTCAAGTTTGACCAGCAGTTTTTCAGTTATCCTTAATAATGCATATATAATTGACTTCGATTGCATTGACGGTATTCTCATCTGCCGATTTTTTTTTCTGGGTGAACCGATTTCGATGATTCTTTTTTTATTTGAAAGCTGGTACTTCTCGTGTGGTCCCGTATAAATTTGATCCAAGTGTTACCAGTAGTTTTTGAGTTATCCTTAATAATGCATATATAATTGACTTCGATTGCATTGACGATGTTCTCATCTGCCGATTTTTTTATTTTATACTTATATTTATTACTTGTCGAACGGTAAACGGAAAAACGGTAAAGGGTGGTTGAGAAGAGCATCGTATTTCGATTCATAGTATTTCGAGGTGGTCCCATTTTTATAATTTGGTGATGTCCGAATTAAGATCTTCGGCGAAATAAAACGGAACTCTTCAATAAATAAAGGACAGAAAATCTGCCGTAATTACTACAATCACACGTACCTATATGTATTGTTAATACAATGTCAAATCGGTTTTTGATAACATTTAGGTTTCGGTCATCGCTTTTTTGATATAATATAGGCTGTTGTGCAACTATAACACTCGAAAGGGTACACACTAAAAAGCTAAAAACAAAATTATTTCTATGATACAACTTTTGATCTGACAATGAAGTTATTAGGCACCGGAACTCCGGAATAAAACATAGCATCCTAGCCATTGATAATGATTGATGATTTTAACGGTATATCTTTCATTCTAATTGCGCTACTTGAGGTGTACGAGTATTATGCGTGGTCTTCATTGTCGGAAGACAGATTTCGTAACCTCGTCATTTCTTTCAACGATTTGTCGTCGTGTGGTTTATTTAATAATTTGTTGGCGTCCAAATCTGATAAAGCTATGCCTTCCAAACTTTTAACACGACTTAGTGCCACATATATTTGCCCTTTTGCGAAGTTTTTGTTTCCAAGGTCAATCACAGTTCTTTCGAGGGTCGTACCCTGTAGTTTGTGAACTGTAACTGCCCAGCTTAATATTAGAGGCAGCATACGGCGCTCCACATCTCCGTAACCCCTTACTGCCTGAAATGTAGTACTTGATGGAGGTATGGGTACGCAACCATTACTATCTTTTAGCCTGCGACCGATAGTTTCGTCATCAAATTTAACGTACACGGCTTCTGGTAGCTCTCCATCCTCCAGTTGATCTCTCCTCAAGGCCGGCCATTTGATTTTTTTTATTATACCCATAGCTCCATTTACTAGCCCTTCAGAGACGGAGATATTGCGTCTCAACATCACTCGAGATTCGACGCTAATTCTTATCGATGGCAGAAGACCACCACAGTTATTGACGTCTTTGGGAATCACGTTCTCTGGTGGTTTTCTACCATATGTCGCTACTTCACGCGACTCATCCACTGCGTTGATTAAATAAGTTCGGTGCAGCTTTGCATTTTCCTTGGTTATTTTGTCGTTGTAATCGTCGACTTGCCTGACCGTGGGAAAGATACGAACGGCGACTCCATCCGCAAATTTACCATTTATAGGCACGTGGCGCCGCTCGCATAGTAATTCCAGCTGAGCCGTCGTCAGTTCACCTACCCGTAAGCTGTTCAATAATTCGATGAATTCGCTATCATTGCGCTGTCGCATGTTTATGGTCAGTTCACAAAAAGAAAACTGATGCCACAAATTGACCTCCACCGAAAACCACGATGGCTGCACAAAACACCAATTCCCTTTCACCGGAGGAAGCTGAAATATGTCACCAAATACTAAAATGTTGACTCCACCGAATAACTTCTCGTTGTTTTTGTATTCTTGGAGTCTTAGGTGAATTATTCTTAAGTTCTCATAGGAGACCATAGAAATTTCGTCTATGACTAGCCAATTTATATAGCGCCATTTACGCCTTTCAGTCTCGAGTCTTTGACCTGTAATTTTTTTGTATGTCATAGAATTTTTTTTTCAATCGGAAGCAAGAAAATACTATGTAGTGTTTTGCCAAAAATTTGACGAGCGGCAACCCCGGTTAACGACCCAACTTCCACAAATTTAGGCTTCAGCAGTATATCTACTGTTGGTGCGTAACAACGCTTAATGTGCTCCACGATTAATTTCAGCAGAAATGATTTACCACTGCCTGCACCGCCCGTGATAAAAAGTAACAGCTGGCTTTCTTGTCCATGCAAATCGTTTTCGATTGCCGTTGAAACTTTCTGAAATAATTCCTTCTGTTGGATATTTAATCCTCGAATGCTTCCTAGGAACAATTCATCTGATATGACGGCTCGTTCTTCCATGTCTTCACAAAAGTTATCGTCATGTAAAATTTTTTCACCAACACATAACATGGAAGCATTGCCTATATCGGTTTCACGCGCAGCATTAAGCGCGGTAGCTTGCGCAACAGCTTGTTGAATAATTAATTCGGCATGACCAAATTGTTCTGCACTGATGTCACCCTGCAACGGGCGAAGATCCCCTTTTCGTCTTATAAAAGTCTTCAGCGGTTTCATTTTCGAAAAGTAATTCGCCTTCATTACGAAATGGTATATGGCATACTAATAAACTGTAATAATATGCTTCTTTGTCACTATTAATTGTATAATAGCGGGTACGTAACACTGCCGGTCTATTTCTTACACGCAATCTCGTATTGTCCTGCAATCTGATATACCTCTCTGGCGTAATATCTTCGTCTCTCAGTTCCGCATCCCCATTGTCCTCTGACCATGTCGTGTTAGAGACGGTTTCAAAACGGACGGCAAATTCCGCAAGGCTTAAATTCTCCAGCTCGTTTGGGCGTAATACATAACGATCAAAAATATTATTGTAAATACTGGTTTCATCACTATCAAATCTCAGGAGTCTGTAACGTTCCTCCGGCCTGCAACTATTCACAAAAACAGTCTTTCGCGACGACATTTTCAATGGCAAATGGCATAATCTGTAAGCGCATTCGGGCGCACTCACCAAGCGTTTATTTAAAATAGTCATTGATATTGAAAACAATTGTTTCCAAACATCACCACCTTGTCTCTTAGCATTCGAAATAGCTTCTCGAATTACATCACCTGTGTCATGTGGTTCGCATTTACTGGCATATTTTGCGACGTAGTAGGCCACAGCGGTGACATTACCACACGGTTGCACGTCAATATTTCCCTTCCATAGATTTAAAAGAACTGCATTGTAATTGTTTACCATGGTTTCATTTGAGGTTCGTTTCAATATACAAAATCGTCCATTGTTAGCAAGTGCTTCATCTGGTCCAAGACAAACGGTGTTAACACTTGCTGGCTTTGGAAAATCAAATCGACAACCATCAGCTTGGCGATTTTTTTTGCATGTCGCAGTGTGTTTATGAATCTGTAAATCCTCAACTAATTTGCGCAACACAAGGTCATTAGGAGTTAATGAACATGAAACCAGTGGTGAAATTCGGAACATTACTACACCAGACTAACATATGCAGATGTGGGCTACCGCGGTTTTGAAACTCCACTCGGTACCAAAAATCTTCAATAAGACCACCCAAGCAATCTTTATTTCTCTTTAAGAATCGCATGAGAGCGTTAACACGTACTGTGAACTGTCGTGCTAACACTACCGGATGTTTTTGCACTAGGTTCAAGCGCTCCGGGAATGACAGGCGATCGACGTCATCGATATCACGTCCATCAGCGATAAGCAAGGCTTTTATCATGTCTGGCCAATTTAAATCATTGCAGGAAAATGTTAAAAACCATGTGGGAGGCCCGAAAGTTCTAACCATGGCAATCAATTCAGAGCAACATTTCTGCCAATATGATGCCGATCCTCGAATATTTCTCATAGTGAGATGCATATTATCTACAAGTCCCTGTGGTGTTTGCTCTCCATGACCTTGTCGCATCCTACATGACACAGATACGCTTGATTTTGCACGAAAATATTCAACAATGGATAGAGCATAAAATAAATAATCATTTCTGTTGAACCTCTTGTCAATACTCATTACCCGGTTTTGAAAGTAATCAAGGGGGGTACACGCATTTTCTCTTTCCTCGCCAAAGCCATTCCTGCCATTTGGAAAAAGAAAATACCAACATAATTCCTCCATACGGCGTTCACGTTCCAAATTCAAGGGAGGTGCAGTTTTCCTTGTGATTGCGGCCAATCTCATTGTATCATCGGTTGAAGAGCTATTCATATTAACAACATTTTCTAAATTAGGTACGTTATCGTCTATATTTTGGAGCATACCTGTTGATTCGATATAAATGGTGCTCAAGGAGTTATGGACTGGTAATGGCAACTGAAAATGGGTTGATTTTACCGGAACTGTTTTTGGATAGACTGAATGACTTGTGTTGTTGTTTGGAGGGTATTACTTGTTTGTATTATTGGTTGGAGGGAATAGTTTGGTGTAAATGTTGGACTCTCTAACCTTGACGAATGTTCCAATATTGGCGTAATCGTTTGTATTTGGCAGTCTCGAGCTGTTTGTATTATCGGTTGGAGGGAATCGTTTGGTGTAAATGTTGGACTCTCTAACCTTGACGATTGTTCCAATATTGGCGTAATTGTTCGTCTTTGGGAGTCTCGAGCTATAACTAATGCTGTTAACGAGAATACATTAAGATTATCTCGAAAGTTTCCTTCTGGCACTTTTTTTGGCGACACAAATAAATTGCGACGTAAAATAGCATGCAAATCATCCAGTTCACTAAATCGCATGCAACAAGCGGTACCATTTATGGGAGCGGAAGCCCCCTTGGGACCCCTTGCATGGGAATCAAACAAAAAGTAAGTTTGATTGTCACCTAAAGTTCTGCAATGCACTGCTATCGATATGGCGTTTGCTGTAAGTATCCCATTGGAGTGTTCTCTGAAAAAACTTAATAATGCATTTTTTAAATTAGGAAATCCATCGGAAGTATTATCATTGTCTATGTGGCCATTATGATTGGTTTCCTCAAGTACTGTGATCACTAAATTTTGTCTATTATATATAAGTCTTGGACTAAGATCTGAAACAGCAAGGTACTCAGGATTTACTTCGCCGGGCGCAGGATTATCTCTAGCAGCGATGCAGTCATTATAGTATTTATCGCCAATAATTACAATGTAATCAATATCACTTTTGGCCCACTTGTTTGGATCTAATACACTAAATGCTGCACAAGCAACAGCCGCTATTCCAGTACATTGCTTACCCCGAGATAAATTAAATCGTAAATCACCTTGATTAAATGATCCGCGTAATATTGCCTTGTTGTCATTTAAAGTGATATAATGTTGTGATAAAGTTTCAGAAGCAACGCCATCCTGTTCAGGAATAGAATTTTCAGCTATTTGTAATATATGAGGAATGTTTAAAGTAGTTTCAAAATGTACCTGAACATCGCTGTAAAGATGGTTATTGGAAATTAACCAAGTTAATGCTCGATTCAGTCTTTACATATCCACGACGAATTCTTTAGAACATGAAAGGTTCTCGAGACTTTCCACTACCAAAACTAAACCAGCTTGATTTGGTGTCAGTGGTAACTGTTCAGCAATTTCCACAACATCCTTTGCAAATAGAATGACCTGCCCTTTACACCAATTTTGACTGAACCGGTTATTAAGTTTTACAATCTTTAAAAACGGTACGATGCGGCTTAAAAATCGTTCTTCAACGCTCGTCAAATTGACTAATTCAGGCGGTACTTCTGCGGGCATCATTTTATTCCAATATGCAGTTGTTGGAATTTTTCTTTTCCTAATATTATTGCTACATCGAGAGCACGTAGTTATTGTACCTAAAGCAACCAGTTCTTCAGGTAATAGTATACTATACATATTTGCTCGTAAATTGGAACGCTGTTGAGGATAAAGGCTTCTTTTACAAACGGCGCATGGTACATCAGCAAAAATATTAATAGCCGCTTCAAAAGATTGTTCATTTGTGATGTCCCTACAAGCTTGATTAGCTTGTTGCATTCTACTAAGTCGATCTGAACGAGTTTCAGGTGTTTCGTTTGATAAGCGATCGCGAATCAATCCGAGTCGGTGGGCACGTTGCTCTTCTGTCTCATTCGATAGACGATCGTGGATCACACCGAGGCGGTGAGCACGTTGCTCTTCTGTCTCGTTCGATAGACGATCGTGGATGACGCCGAGGCGGTGGGCACGTTGCGCTTCCGTCTCATTCGATAGACGATCGTGGATCACACCGAGGCGGTGAGCACGTTGCTCTTCCGTCTCGTTCGACAGACGATCGTGGATCACACCGAGGCGGTGAGCACGTTGCTCTTCCGTCTCGTTCGATAGACGATCGTGGATCACACCGAGGCGGTGAGCACGTTGCTCTTCCGTCTCATTCGACAGACGATCGTGGATCACACCGAGGCGGTGAGCACGTTGCTCTTCCGTCTCATTCGATAGACGATCGTGGATCACACCGAGGCGGTGAGCACGTTGCTCTTGCGTCTCATTCAATAGACGATTGTGGATCACGCCGAGGCGGTGGGCACGTTGCTCTTCCGTCTCATTCGATAGGCGATCGTGGATCAGGCCGAGACGGAGAGTACGTTTTTCGATATTTTCCCTCTACAAAACTTTTTTCATGTAAGCCCGCATTATTGAAAGCCTATTTTTGCGCTCTTCACAAGTCTCTTTTGAAATGTCAATTGAGGTAGATTTCCTCTTTTGAGATAGACGTTTCTCCCTTTCTTCGTTTGTCTCATTTAAACGGTGCTGTCTCATATGAGCAGCGCGTTTGCTAGGTCTACCCATTTTCAAACAAATAAAATCAGTTATCGAACTTCAGAATCACTAAAAATAGAAAAATAAACAAAAATTTTAACAAAATAGAATACCGACTTCAAAACAAAATATTTTAAAACAATAAATGCACTAAAAATTTTAAAAATAATTGCGTATTCTTGTATCTACAACTTACAATCAACTTATTTTTTCTACTCAATGTACGATCTATGCGTTTACCACGTAAGAAGGTAGGTACCGACTTAAACTTCACATCTAACTCAACACATATCTATGATTCACAAACAATTATCAAAATATTTTTTAGAGTTCAACTAAGCAAAAATTTTCAAATATATGTGTAGACTGCTTAAAAGACAATCAAATTATTAGGATAATATAATCTACAATTATTGTCATTTTTGGAGTCGGTGTCAGCCAAGGAAATACGACAATGTACCTAGCAATAATAATACGAGAATTCCTGGAAATACGCTTTAATACGAAAATATGGTGTGACAATACCTATGTAACAACATTAATACAATAAACAAAATACCAATAACCTAATTAATCCTATTTACAAATTAACTTAAATACAATGTGATGTGACAATACCTAAGTAACAACCTTAATACAACGAAATACCAAAAATAATTAACCTATTTCCAAATTAACTTTAATACAATAATATTTTGTGACAATACTTATCTAACAACCTTAATATAACAAAATACCAATGACATTACCTATCTAACAACCTTAATGCAACAAAACACCAATACCTAATTAAACCTATTCATAAATGAACATTAATACGACAATATGCTGTGATAGTACCTAATAACCTTATTACAAAAAACAAAATACCAATACCTAATTAAACCTATTTATAAATGAACATTAATATGACAAAATGCTGTGACAATACTTATCTGTTAACCTTAATACAATAAAATACCAATATATAATTAACCTATTTCCAAATTAACTTCAATACGACAATATGCTGTGACAATACCTTTCTAACAACCTTAATGCAACAAAATAACAATACTTAATTAAACCTACTTATAGACGAATATTAATACGACAATATGCTGTGACAATATCTAGCAACCTTTATACGAAAATGTAGCTTTAATAATAAACATAAGGAATTACAGTAAGAAAGACGGTGTAGAATGAAAAAGAATCGGAATCGGTTTATAATCAAGTAACTCGTATAGGTTCTTTTTCTTGACTGGCGAATGGCCGGCGTACGGCGTACGCGTTTGGCTCGCTCACTTCTGTAGCCTTCCCACCCTCCTTCCCCGCGCCCGCGTCGATAAGCCCGCGCCGAGTGCTGCGTCTATGTGTGTTTTAGAATAGAATAGAATAGAATAGAATGATTTTTATTCAATATGGATTATTACATAATACTTATTGAAAGTCATTATTTTATTTACCACTGGTTCGGAAAATACCTCTGTCCTGGGAAGAACCAGCAAGAAACCCAGCGGGACTTTTTTTTTTTAAACATAATTTCACTTAACAATAATTTTGATTATACAATTGTGTAAATTGTGTATGCCAATTGTTATCTATGTTATGATTATAGTAAGACATCTCACGTTTAAGTAGTTAGAAACATACCTTGGCTGACACCGACTCCAAAAATGACAATAATTGTAGATTATATTATCCTAATAATTTGATTGTCTTTTAAGCAGTCTACACATATATTTGAAAATTTTTGCTTAGTTGAACTCTAAAAAATATTTTGATAATTGTTTGTGAATCATAGATATGTGTTGAGTTAGATGTGAAGTTTAAGTCGGTACCTACCTTCTTACGTGGTAAACGCATAGATCGTACATTGAGTAGAAAAAATAAGTTGATTGTAAGTTGTAGATACAAGAATACGCAATTATTTTTAAAATTTTTAGTGCATTTATTGTTATAAAAAATATTTTGTTTTGAAGTCGGTATTCTATTTTGTTAAAATTTTTGTTTATTTTTATAACAATTAATTGTAGTATAAATGTAGCTTTAAGTAAATTAGTATTTGTAGACGAAAATTGTAAATTTATAATCAAATTTGTTAATACTTACATATTATATTACAAATGAGCCCGCCATCCACCATCAATGGGATTTGTTTTGAGAAAGTGAATATATCTATTACCTTATCTTAAAACCTATCTCAAAAATTCTTATTATAGGTCCTACACCTCTAAGAGGAATATTGGGCAAAACAATCCTTGTTAGTTTCAAAGAAACACAACTAAGTTCATATTGAAAGAAATGCATGTCATTACGAGATTTATGTAAAACGAATACTACCGATAGAACTTGCTAAAAAATTCAAATTCTTATTTTGTGATTTTCCTTCCAGACCAAATTTAATGTGAAAGGCCTTTTATCTGCAATAATAATTTCCATCAAAAATTACATAGACTTATAAAAGTAACACACACGGTCAAATATACTGAAGATTTCAAATATTATCCCCAGACTACATCGAAATTATTAAAAAGATGTGCTCGAAGAAAGAAGGCGGTTTTTCATTTTCGTTATCAGCTTTTGTTTTTTTTCAATAGCATCTTTTATGTACTGTGGTTCCTTTATAGGTAGATTTCTGGTATGTCGTGGATCAACAAGGTCGGGCAAAATGCAATCTTCATAAAATGCAAGAAGATTAGTTTTCATGATGTTTTCAAAATACTCATCATCTCTATGTATAATTTTTGTTTTCAGTGGTTCATTGATTTGACCACATGGCGACTAAGCAAATGTTTTTTCTGGCGACTTGCAGTTGCCCCTTTATTTGCATGTACCAATTATGGTTTTTATTTACAAAAATCCTATCCTGTTTGTATTGGATCTAGAAGTTGGATCTAGAAGGTGGTGGTTTTAATAGCTTGCACTTGATTTCGATGATTGTGTCGTCACCACACAGGCCATCCGGAGTTGCTCCTAGAAATGAAATTTCTGGGTCTATAAAAGTCCGCAGGGTTTAATTATTACATTTTCTTGCCTTGCCAATTGTTCAAGGGCAAGTTTTTCGTTTCCGCGACTATGTTTTATAGACTGAACATGTTCTAAATTATGAAATGTGTATAGCACCTCTTTAATTATATTTGAGCAACTAGTGTCCTCTTTCCTTTTAACAATGCGTCCAAAATTGGATGCTGTAAGCAATGATCGTCGTAACTCTAGCCATTCACTTGAGCTGCTTTTCAGTATAGTTCTCCCTTCAATATATTGCGCTTTTTTATCTGTCCTCTTTAAGTTTTCGATAAAGGACATCTTAAGTTTCTCCATAAGACCCTCCGATACACCTTGCTTATGACTGTATTCTCCATAATTTTCACCTCTCTTTGTTGCTAATGGTACTGGTAGTTTCTGGTATGTGTATTTCTTGAGAAGATTTAACCTTTTAATCTTTTTGTCCTCGAAAATATTCATTCGTCCTGCTAAGTGTTTATGAAAGGTCTTTAATAATGAAATGAGATTGCAGCTTCAGTGCTTCTCGTCTGATAACTCCTTCGTAGGGAGTAGTTTACTCGTTTTCCACCCACGAATTTTGCAACAACACTGTGAAATAGTTCCACAACATTGCTGTCTACATCATTTATAAGACTTCTCGAATGATTAGCAAGATTTCTCATAAAAAAAAAAAAACAATTCTTTACCAAAGAGAACCAGTGAAAATAATCACTTGGTATTTTATTAAAATTATTTTCATTTATATCGTCTCTTTACATTACATTTCGTGTGAGTTTCAAAAGCGTGCAAATGCGTAGCTAAAATATCTTCAAAAAGTAAGTTCGTATAAAAATAATCGTTTCATTTCACAGCGTGACATTTAATGGCACCGCATATGCTTTTTCTGATAGATATAATTATTTCCTTTGTAAGAAGCTTCCTCTGTTTAATAGGATATTTTGTTTCAACTTGTAGGTTTTGTAACTTATTATATACATTTCTCAACAGGTGGTCCCTATACTCTATTTTTTCTACAGCTACAAGCAACAACTAGCAGACATATAGCTGACACCTAATTATGCTATTGAAAACCACGTCAATCGTAAACAATACTTATGTGAAAAATAGTGTACACAACAGGATTATGAACGCACGAAACATTTTTTTTTCAAATTTTAGCCAAGTTATAAATAGAAGACTAAAACGTCATTTACCAATTTAATTAAATATATTTTTATTTTGACTACGTTTAGTCAAATCATCATTGATAAAAATGAGAACAGAAATTTTACAATTGTGTGTAAATCTAGAATCTTGTTCATTATTTTTATTACTAATACATATGACTGTATATTTTAATAAACACCTATAATATTTTATATTATTTTTAATTTTACCCTATTTGAAACATTCTAAGCTCTGTAGAAAATGTAGCGTATGAAATGACTGACGTTTTATCTAGTTACTAAGGCACTGCACAAACGTAGAAAACGTTTTGTTACCGACACGGCACACCATTGCAGAAAAATGTTGTTATAGTTGCTGTGTCCGACGGCAATCGGATACAGTCGCCGGTTGCTACTTCTGGTCACTGTTAATAATTCGTTGCTTGTTTTTCGTCAGTTTCACAATGAATATACGTCTACATAGACGTCGTCGCCGTCAATTTTTATTAATATTGCTTGTGTTTTCAATTAAAGACTTTTAATTTCCACTTATCTACAGTGAAAACTTTTTGATTGGCAATCGGTATGTATCAAGTAGAAGCAACTAGACACAAAAAGTGTCTGCGTCTGCGCAGAACGTGGCTGATTTCTATTGATTATATGAAAGTAAAATATTCTCTGATAACTTGCATCCCACACAAGACACAAAAGTTCATTCATGCATGTTAAAGCCTTAAGTAGTAACAGTATAATAGGGGCCATTGACAAGATTTACATTGTAGGAAAAATAATAAATTAGGGCTCTAGACAGATTTTATTATATTTTAACAGAAACCAGAGGTTTTAATTAAGGATACCGATATTTTTAAGGTACCTACAATATTTGATTTCTGATGAAATTGTGACGCTGAGGATGAAAAAGTAGAACTTTTAATACATGTGCATGGTGCCGAAAAGGTTAAACGATGATACTGTAACAGCCGTTAGCGGTTCATTCCCGCCAAATATTTGTCGATCATTCACAATGTAAGAAATAAATTACATAAAATGATTATTTATTAGCAAAGACTTCTATATATATATTACTAGACGGGCACTACAGTACTAATAACTAAGTAATTTTTTAGACTGTTTAGTTTGTTTTTGATAATCTAATACTGAATTTATTTGATGTGATTAAGAAAACGCTGTCATAATGATTAGAAGTTTTTTTCCAGATGAGTATGTAACTCTATTTTGTATTTACCCAAAAACGGTAACTGTCATATTATATACCGTGCCAGGTTCCCGATCGGTTCCAAACTCACGCACGCGTTCTTCAGGTGTGAAATTGAACAGTTTTTGTTATGAATTGGCGGTGTAGTAGTGCACACATTACAAGTATGCGAGGTCGGATGGTGTTCAGTTGCGCGCGCGGGCGCGGGGGCGCGGGCGGGGTCGGGCGCGTGTGCGGGCGCGCGGACGCGGGCGGCGGCGGCGCACGCGCGGCGCGCGCCCGCGCTCCAGCTGCGCCGCCACCAGCTCCGCCAGCGCGCCGCGCTCCGCCAGCATCGACAGGAACGTGCAGATGAACTCGTCGTAGTTGTGCGTGCGTCGGCAGTCGTCCACCTGCCACCCCACCCACACACACACACTATTTAATGCTACCACTCGTGCGGATAAACAATGCGATTAGAAATGCTACTACCCGCATACAGAGTATCATAAGCGAAAACGATGCTTATAACGTTATATCGTTATATTATAAATAACTATATTATATTCATTAAAACGTTTAACTAGTATATTGTATTGTAGTAATTCGAAATTTTTAATTATTAGAAAAAACTGATTAGTATATTTAAATCAATTGAATTACATGCTTAAATAATTATTAACTGAATAATTAAAAATAAATAATATTTATTTTTGGTAATTTAATTCGCAAAATAAATTAATATTTAAAACAAAAGTATATTATTGAACATTTAAGTTTTGTTACTTGGAAGAAATTAAATAAGTACAAGAACACTTATCGCAGCGTATACATGACGTAATTTTTTCTGGTTATTAACGGCGTATGAGTATAGATAGATATTTTATGATTTCATTCTTTATCTCCGCGAATAGTACTTTATTTTAATTCGTGTACCACTCGCGCAAATAAATAATGAGATTATAAATGGCGTTGCCTCTATTCACCTCTCGCTTGCATGCTGTCACTGTCTATACTCACACCCGTCGGTAACGACCACAAAAAATGTTAACTTTGTAATAAGAGTAATAATCTATAACTATTCAATAAAAAACAATTGCTGTCTAAAATTCTTTTATTATAAGTATTAAATTGTTTTATGTAGTCCAAATGACCATATTAATAACAATTTACGAGTTGATTTACCTCAATTTAATTAATAATTAATTTACATAATTAAAATTAAACTTTTTTGTTATTAAATTAAAATTAATTGATTTAAATGAACGAAACAGATTTTTCCGTTTTAAGAATTTCCAAATATACTATCCTAACGATTTATTTGATAAAATATCGTTATTTAAAACATAACTATATAAAGTTATTACCACTGTTCTTGTTTTAGGTACCATGTATGCTTACAGTACAGATTCGATGAGTCGCCATTTCGAATTCCATTCATTAACCGCACGGGAAGTAGTGTCGGCGTAAGGATATACACTAAATACCCCAGATCGTGGCGTGCGTGTTGCAAGAAGCGACATAGGGGAACAAACCAAGACACGGGCAACAGTGTTTTACTAATAACAATTAGAAAATAAAAAACTGCGGCTGCCAACCTGCCTGACATGGTTGGCAACTATGGCAAATAATAATGGCGGCCAGTCACAGCGGCCAGTCTCTGCGTCATCTGAACAAGACAAGATTATAGTGCCCGAGCGTATGCGCATGCACAGGTATATGTGAGTGACTTTGAGAGTGAAGGAATTGAGAGTGTATACTCTCAATTCCCTCACTCTCAAAGTCGGCAAACCGAGGCAGTCAAATTTATGGCAAATATCCCCCTTATGTAGTATTCTATGGGGAGGCTTGTTTTCTCTTTGTCTATCGTTTCTTTATGCTTATTGATATTACATATTACTTGGAAACAAAAGTTGGCACAACAACAACAGGCGAAAGGTGAGAGGGAAGCGCACTATTAGAATGAAAAATTAGCGCCACACGACAACTCTTTAAAAGTATTTTAATTGACTACAGTGTAAACTGTCAATATCCGATTAGATCAGAAAACCAATAAAACATATATCATCGTAATTGTAATGAAAAATAATCTATTAAACCATTTGGAAATTGAACATGATTGCTACTAAAATTATTATTTTAATTTTTTTTTGTTTACTTGGTATTATTAAGGTGATAACTCGAAAATTTGGTGGTTTTTCTATTTCACATATTTCATTAAGTTTTATGGATTACGAACGAAATTTTTGGTATAATGATTTTTGACTATATGATCTTGGATTGCATAAAAAGAAAACACGATAACATAATGTGATTTTCTTAATAGAAAAAAATTGTAGAGTAGGTAGGCTCTAATTAGTTATATTTTTCTATATGAATTATCTTTAAAGCATAGTAAATAATCATACCCAAGTTCACATAAACCGTTTTCTAATCCACAACGACGTATTGTTAAAAAAAAAGTTTGGCGCTTATGTAGTTTATTATCAAGCGCGTGATCGGTATATCTATCTCATAATTTGCGTACATGAAATAATTGCATCATTTTCATTTTGACACTCCCTTAGTCGTCCGTGAGCTTCACCGACAAAGTGCTAAGCCACGCCTCCAACACTACGATTCATTTTCAAGGTTATACTCTTACATTTTAATAGGTCTAAACCTAGCCTGCTATATGCTAAAGATGTATCAAACCGGCCATATCAGAATGTTTTGAAGTCTTACCTTATACATATCTCTTTTATCATTCTCATCGTTCAGAGCCTGCTGACACGATTGCACTTCATTGACAATATTCGTCATTAGCATATTTAGTTCTGGGTGAGTTAATAATAGTTTTTTCAACTTGAACGGTTGCTCGGGCGCAGCCTCACAGTATACTAGTACAGGCATCTCATTGCTTTTCACTAAAGCAGATGTTGATGTCGGATATATCTGAGAACAATTATTATTATTATAGAGATAATTATTAGTATTCTATATAGATTGCTTGACTGGCTACGGGGCTGCAAGTCGTGGTTACGTGGAATAAGTTTGTATTTGCATGGCTTAAAAATTATTATAGGTTTACTGGTAAGCGAAGTGTAGAATGTGTGTGCATCTAGTGAGGTGAGACTAGATGGAGTGACAACCTGGTAAGACATGCAGAACGAGAAAGCAATTTTTTGTTACCCATAGGATGTGTACAAAAATTATTCATTAAATTTTTATCTTCTCAGGTTAGCTATTGTTACCATTAATATGTTGACGACTTACACATTTTTATTTTAGCTCATGTCAAACGTATAAATACCTCTGTGGATAGACTCAATATGGACTTGACGCATCTCAACAATTGGTCCCGTAAACCATTATATTTGGAAGCGCCAAACAGTTGTTAAAACTTTTCATTTTCGGTTACATAAACATACGTGAGAGAGCCACGTACAGTGGTAGAGCCACGCGGCAGCTTTTGCTGTCGCACGGATGGGCCGGCTCGAACCGGGGTGGTACCACGACCTCACAGAATACCAGCGTGAAGTAGAGGTTTACCTCTGCGTTTCGTTTGGTGAGTGCAGGTGGCCGGAGGCCCCTTTTACTGGAAATGAGGCATTCCATCTTAGTCCTCACGGGTGACAACGCATCTGCATTTTGATTCGCAAACCCTCGTTTCTCTCTCTATCCTCATAGATGTAGATGTCTATGGGCCGCAGCAACCACTTACCATCAGGTGGACAGTGTGCTCATTTGTCACCCTTATCCTCTAAAAAAAAAACCATACTTACATAATATATTTATTGTCGGTATATTTTTATTTCTCCAATGTAATTTTTTCTGTAACTGCCTACCATTTTATACATTGCGTAAGGTTAAAAAAACGTGCGATTACAATGCCTAATGTTCATTGAGTAGTGTACAAATATATTTTTATTTCCTACTAGCTGGTATCCGGCGCGTTACTGCCACAGAATTGATTGTGGAAATATCCACAATCAATTATAATAGGCCACAGAAATGATTGGAAAAGTAGAAACCTTATTTACTCATACTTTCAAAAACTGCAATAACGGAATATTATTATTTGAAGTTAAGTTTAAAATTTGGCTACTCTTTGAAAAATAACCCCGTGTGAGTATTAGATTTTTCCAAAATAAAGAAATGGGGCCATCGAAGTTGTCTCAAAACTTGAACCAGTCAATAATTTTTAACTTCTGTATATTACGCATCATATTATACTGTATTTACACCGCAAATACTATAAATATCGATTTAAAAAGTAGTCTGTAAGCTGTGATAAACACAAACTAACATTTTTAGGTATTTTTTGCACGGTGGTACTTAAGAACTAATGTAGAAAAGATCATTACCCAATTGAATGTCTACTTTTAAAGAAAGTTAATTTAAATTTCATTTATATTGTTCATAATAATAATGTTCTCCAGACCGAATTTCGGTCATGGCGGCCGGTCTCATCGGGAGTAGCCATCTGCACATATAATGGCGCCCCTTAGAACGTGTAACATCATGCATATAAGAGATATACATGAATACAAGTTTGTATTCTGTGAAACTTAAGCGAAGCACTCAGTCCCTGAACTAATTAGTAATGTTAGTAATGATAAATAAAACTTACATCATCCAAGATCTGGCAGTCCCTATTTAAGGTTACAAACTTTACAGTATCGCCTTGTTCTACTGGATCCACTGAAAGGTAATACTACTAATAATATAATTTAGTAAATAATAATACTGTGTAGTGGCGGTGTAAGAATATCCACTACCCCATATCATTCCGTGGGTGTCGTAAGAGGCGTCAGATGGATACACATCAGGAGATGAGCAGCAGCGTTTCCTAATAACGACTAAAAATAAAAATAAAACTGTGGTTGCCAACCCTCTTGCCAAGCGTGGCAACTATGGTAAATTTCCCCCCGCCATGGGGAAGACCCATGTTCAGCAGGCTTTAATAGGCTGTAACGGTAACAGTAAATAATAATATAGTAAACATCTGTAATAAAATGTTGAGGATGTTTTTCCAGCAGATTAATTATTCAATATTAATCAAAGCGACATAACATTTCCTAAGATAAGAACGCATATCAATGCCTGCTTTTAATTTACATAAATTGTAGGTAATCAACTATAGTCTAAGGAATTCCCTTACCTCTGCAATCCAAGAGTATCAAAATCAACTATACTACTACATAGTTCTAAATATGGTGCACATTTTCATGTTGTATTCCTTTTTTATTTTGGTTTGAGTAAGAGATTTATAGTCCGTACGGATAAAGAGTGGGATTAGAAATGGCGGCTCATCGAGCCCGTACCGTCAAACATGTACAGTTTAAATAGCGAAAACCTGCTAATAACAGTACACCGTTATATTATTCGGTAAATTGGAAATTTTCTATTAATGGGAAAATATTTGAAAAGAATTGTAAACGCAAGTAGGTACATTATTTTTAAAATAACATTTATAACTAGCGACTACTCTGGCTTTGCCTTGGTGGGATCTATTAATGTAGTGTTATTTAGACTTAAGATAATCATTAAAGACCATTTATTTTATCTTATCAATATATAACTATATATATTATATATTATAATATAAAAAATTTAGTCAAGATCACTCCTGATATTACTCTTAATTTGTTCGTAAATTTTTACTAAAATTTGTTCAGCAATTTCGAAGTCTAGTTCGGACAGACAGGCAAATAAAATTTATAAAAATGGTACTCACGTCATTTATAACATTTATAAATATATGACTCACGTCTCAATAGCATGAAAATATTTTATAGAAAATATTAACAAACAAAATCAACAATAATTACGACGAAAACTCAAAACACGTCTAGCTCATAAATTGCAAAACCGCACTGAGTTTTTTTTGTAGTTTATATAGCATTTTGTTATCATTGATTCCAAATTGGACTGAAGTTATAGAAAGTACGAAAAACACATATCACAACGTAATTTTTATTTGCAGTCTTTACCGGCGGGTGTGAGTATAAATAGCGACTTTGTGCGAGCGTGAGGTGAATAGAGGCGACGCCATTTTCAATCCCATTCCTTAACCGCACAGGTAGTATTTTTTCAAATGTGCATACTTTTTTTAAACTAAAGTAAAATGAATGTGGTAAGTTTGTACAAATTGAGAGAAGTAATTTTACCTAGAGCTAAGCTGTTATCCTGTTGTGGCCTGTCTGAAGCACCAATTTCAATTGTGATGGGATCAGTGTAATCAATATCATATGTTTGTGTTTGTGATGATTCTATTGCATTCAGAATAGCTTCCTCAGTTATCTGAATGGTATCAAGTATAGAGTTCTCATTGTTCATTTGAGACATGGTATCTTCTACAAATAAGAAAAAAAATACATTATACTTTATGATGGGTCTGAGGCCTAAAATGAAATGCATATAAGTCTGTAATTATAGTAGCTATCTAACATTTCAAACTCGAACACACAAGCTACTGGCCTGCTGCTTAGAAACAGAATAGGCGACAAGATTATATGAACTATGGTAGAAAAGAGAACCTCCCAAAATTGATCCACTTATCGATATGTCTTTTAAAGAATGCGCCAATTATCATGCATAATTATTTGATATATTTACCCTATTTCTGTGCGAATGATCTGTTGTGGCTACTATGGCTATAGTTCAATGCTAAGCCCTATCTTCAATAAATTGCATGAGTTGCTTAGCTGTGTGCATTTAGATGAATGCTACATTCGCACATTAAGGATCTGCACTCAATTAGAATAATTTGCCAGCATCTGTTTTTCCATACGAATACAATGTGTGTGTCTTCAAGGCAAGAGTATTTGTTGAGTTAGTGTGCTTTACTATCTTTCGGCTACATAATCATTTATCATCAGCGGGTTTATTCGCTACCATCGTTGAACGTGTTGTATGCTTTATATATATAAAAGAGCTACCACGGCTCGTAAGATCGGGAGTGTGACGACAAGAGTTATGTTCAGAAGCACCAATCGGTATTCGTTCAAGGTGGATGACGAGGTGGAGGCGAAATATGAGGACATCTCTTAATCTTCTTCGCTTTTAATAATCCATTTTATGGTGTTAATGCGAAATTTCAATGCAACGTAAAGAGCCAACTGCCTAGTTTCATAACCGAAGGTAGCAGCGTCATTTCTGTGTGACTTGAGATTTTGAGAGAGATTGGAAAATTTTACAGACTACTGTACACAACGTCGTTGGAGCCACTCACAAGTGTGAAACGACCTAAGAGCAAGTTTTTAGACAATATTCGGCAATAAGCCGATGAAATGCTACACTTCAGTCTGGGCAAGATGACTTTCAGGCATCTTAAAAACAACAAGGCGCTGAATGCGGATAGTATTGCAGCGCAGCTTCTAAAAGCGGGTGGAAAACCGGTATTCGAAGTCATAAGAAGTTGTTTAATTCCATCCTTCATAGTGGCGATACTATTCTCTACTGAAGAACTAGAAACAGATTTCCCTTTAGACAAATTTCAGCCTCCGGAATAAACCGGATACCGAAAAGGCCACCAAAGACTACTTCCATATCCTGCAAATTGTTCAGAAGACCGAAGAGTACAATCTGCCACGTTGTCTTGCGTAAGTGGACTATGAGAAACTTTTATTTCCATTTAAATTTGGGCGGTGCTACAGCGTCTTGAAGAGTTTAAGGTTGACCATCGGTATATCGAATTGCTGGACTGGAAAGGATACAGTATCAACATCAATAGCCAAGACATGACTCACCTACAATTTGCTGACAATATAATCATTCTGGCAGAACCCTTAATCCTGCTAAGTGCATAGTACTAACTCTAGATCGAAACAATCCCAGAGAAGTGTATAGCATTGGGAATTCAACAGTACAGTCAGTTAACTCACAAAAGGATTTAGTTATCTTAATATCATCTGGCCTCAACTAGGCTGACCATATCCATAGTATTGACAAGAAGGCAAACAGCATTCTGTACGAATTCAGGCGATCGTTTCAGCATCAGACTCCAGAAACATTGCTCAAAGTTCATAAAACAAATATCCGACCGCTGAAGGATTTCAAATTAGAGATCCGAATTTTGTTAGGGATGTGGAATTGCTGGAGAGTGTACAAAGAAAAGCCACAAAGATTCTGTTATGCCTTCGCAAAAGCCATACGAAGAGAAATAAACAATATTGAATCTAAATACGCTGAAATCTCGCCGTATTAGAGGAGACCTTATTAATCCCTTTTCTTTTTATAGGAGAGGGGGCAAACGAGCATGCGGCTCACCTGATGGTAAGTGATTACCGCCGCTCATGAACAATTGCAACACCAGGGGAATTGCAGATGCGTTGCCGGCCTTTTAAAAAGGAGCAGGCTCTTTTCTTGAAGGTCCCTAAGTCGTATCGGTCCGGAAAGATCGCTGGTGGTAATCGATTCCACAAATAAATTGTGCGAGGAAGAAAACATCTTTTAAATCGCACAGTGGTGGACCGCCAATCATCCAGATGGTATCCCTATAAAATACTGTACGACAAATACTATTCCAATGTCCCCCGATCTAAATGATATCCTAACGATATGAAATTGGCTCATGCTCATACTTGCTCATACATTCATGTTATAAACATATGGTACACTAGCTGTTCCCCGCAATTTCACTCGAGAGGAATTTTTTTTGCGCCGAACCCTAAAATAAAAGTAGCCTAAGTTACTCCTTATTATAACATCAGCTATCTGCTAGTGAAAGTGCCATCCAAAACGGTTCACAGGTTTTTCCGTGATTCGTGTTCACGCCAAAATAGCTCACAGATGACAGATTTTTTCAGACTTATTGACATTTATCGTTATATTTTGGTAAATTTACACAATATTTTTATGAATTATAGCTTATGTGTTATTCTGATATATGAGCTCCATTATTGTAGTTTCATTAAAATCCATTCAGTAATTTCGGCGTGAAAGATACCTCAACATGTGGTTATTGCTCCACCTGTAATTAGTTTACAAACAGACTGGACAAATTGTGCAAACGCAATCTAATTTAATGTGGACTTGGACTATTATAAAACGCTAACACAGATATTAGGCATATCAGCTATAAGCTGCTTGCTTGTAACTACATAATAATACTCACTGAAGACTAGTACAATACTCAATAACTTCAATAGTCTCACAACATGCAGGTTTTAGGATGATCATAGGAAAAGACAAAGGTTTAGTCAAAGTTGGTAGTTGTTGGAAGGACTATGCTCAAAGTTGTCAGCTTGTTGTTGTTGCTTGAAGTTAAATTTTCTGACAAGGTAAGTCCAACATGGGAAAGATAGATAGTTTATTGAAAATAACGTACCATTAAATTCCCTGTTCTTACTTAACAAATGACGCAAATGTTTGCCGATTTTTGATATTGCTTCTTTTACTCTTTTCTGGTTCATCTCAAGAGCTTGCAACTTTTGTGTAAGAGCTATTCTTCTGTCAGGAACAACAGCCATTAAATTAAATCTGAAAAAAAATTGCAGTGAATGGGGTTTTGTGCAATACGTAATATAACACTTGAATGAATTATATAACAATGGCTTCCACGCCGAATTTTGTTACGCAAGACAGGATTATTGTGCTTGAGTGTATGCACAGGCACAGGTAAACTGTATTGCTTCACTCTCATAGACCGATGCGGCGGTAATCCGACACGACAGGAGAGAGATCCGGACCAGAGACACGGGGGTGAAACAACGCCAAATTCCTGACTCCGGATTGCTACTGAAAAATTATCGACGGAAAAAAGCCTTCCGAAGTTCACTGCTTCGTCATTTCAAGAATCATCGCCCTCTGCAAGCAGGTCATACGTGGCAGAACCATGGTGCAGCTATATTACTGGTATAGTTGTAGCACGAATAGGTCGGCTCGACCAGGGAAGAACCACGCTCTCACAGAATACTTATGTAAAATAGCGGCTTAAGGCTGCTGTGTTTCGTATGGTAAGTGTAGAGAACCGGAGACCCCTTTTATTGCAAAAGAGGCACTCCACCTTAGATTTCGCATCTGCATTTTGATTCGTAATCGAGGATAAATGTAGATGTCTATGGGCCACAGCAACCACTTACCATCAGGTGGAATGTGTGTTAGTTTGTCACCCTTATCCTAAAAAAAGGTGATATTGTAGGATCAGCGGACAGGGAAGACGGAGAATGGCAAATATCTCATTCTGCAAGTGGAGGATCAGCGTCGTAAGAAAGCATATCAAGCCATCTTTTCTTTTCTCTATAACCTCTCCCCCATACATGCAGTGATCCCCTTAATATAACCCTGACAAAGTTTAGTTCGTAGTAGCTCAGCAGAACCTCTTTGCTGCCTCACGATAGAAAGTATCCATGAGGATCACCTCTACCAAAAACAGAACTTTACAAGAATGCTTTTTTAAAGAATATGAACCATACAATTTCAAAAATCACTCTGATAAATGTTAAGTTGATATAACATTATCTTTGTTTGACATTGATAATGTTACTGTTCACGCCCTTAGTTGCCCCGACAAAAGTCGACGGTATTAGGGCCTATGAGTAACACCTTCGACGAGCAACAGGGGGCGAAGCCCAATGGCCTATGGATAATTCTAAATTAATTACAAATAAGCAAGCACAACTTACCGATTGCCGGAGGTAGGCTCACAGAAAACCAGCGTGAAGTATAGGTTTACCTCTGCGTTTCGCTTGGTGAGTGCAGGTGGCCGGAGGCTCTTTTTACTGGAAATGAGGCATTCCATCTTAGTCCTCACGGGTGACAACGCATCTACATTTTCATTTGTAACAGAGGATAGATGTAGATGTCTATGGGCCGCAGTAACCACTTACCATCAGGTGGACTGTGTGCTCGTTTGTCACCCTTATCCTATAAAAAAAAAAAGGGTTGACCGCAGGGTACCAGTCAGGTGATAAGTGATGTGCATGTAAGTAGTGTGTACAATGTAACTTAACTTAACCGTTGAAGTCGAAATGCAGAACCACTGGCGCTGCTTCTCTCCAAATGTGAGATCCCTCCAGGGGGGGTGGGGGTGGGGGGTGCGTTCACCAATTGAAAACTTCTGCTTTTATTTCTTTGTATTAGCTTATCAACTTTATTGTACATTTAATTAACTTCAAAGTCAACCAAATCAACGTTCATCGAAACCAAAACAAGTGACACCCGACACAAGTAAAGAACAGTCGGTCAAAGTTCAATATTCAATGTTCCGGGTTCACTTAGCACAAAATTACAAACACGGGAACGAACGCGGTCCCCTCTCGAGTCACAAAGTTCAGCATTCTCCCGACCAAGCCAAGTTCTTTCGTATAATATTAAAATGCCACAAAGCAACTCGTCGAATCAAATTAATGTCAATCAAAGTTAAGTTAATAATTCAAACCCAATACAAGCCTCCCGTCACCAAACGTACAAATTCGACAAATCAATTCGAGGCGGTCTACACGAGACCCAAATATTCAATAGTAAATTAGGCGCGCACAATTTACTCAAACTTTAGACCGTCAAAAATCTACACCGGTCGCGCGCAACCAACCCAACGGTTGCAAACAATACTCAAAACGGTTACAACAATAATTATATGAGATCAGCCTCGTTATCACGAAAAACAAATTATGATAACACCGTAGGAGGCACGCAACCGACCGTCGCGCCACAAATTCTTTTCATACTAATCGGCAGCCGCCCTCGAATGAAATGCGAACGGGGGGGGGGGGGGGGGGCGACGGTGACCTTGGTAACATCGGATGCACGAGTCGAGCGCGCGTCGTGAATGCAAATTTTTACAGTGTTAATTATTTGGCCTAAACTTATTCAAGTTATTCCAAGCCCTGTTCAGAAGTCACTCTAACAAAATGTAGTTCATTAATATAATTAATACCACTGGGTTTACAATTGACTTTGGTTATTTGTAATAATGAATGACCTTATTAATCCATCAGCCCATTGGGCTATTGCCAGATATTTCTATTTAAATCACTAATACTGTTTTTAATAAAAATGTTACTGAATATTTGAAAGTTAAAGTTAGTTGTATACCTGATATCATGCACTTGTTCACCTGCATCTCTACCAAGCCTCTCAGCCATCACTCTCCTGAATTTGTCAGTCCAATCTTCATCAGTAGCCCATGGGCCATGATCTGTAGGATAAGGCTTTAAGCCATCCAATTCGAAGAGGTGCCCATTGATAGGCACAAAACTTACAAAATGGTATGCTTCCCCTAAAAAGACACCAAAAAATGCTATGGCCACAATAACAGAACTTTTTTTAATTTAATAACTCATTTTGAATTTTGTTTAATTTATGACACACATATACTTCCTTATTTTAGGGAAGATAGCAAATTTTTCCTTATTTGTAAGGAAAAAATTGCTACCTTCTTAGAGAGGACCTTAAAAAAAATTAAAATTTGCAGTTTGTGTAAATTTTTTTTTATCTATACTTCATTGACCAGATACAATAGGTGAACTAATAGTATAAGCATTCTATTTCTATACCAAGTAAATGTTGGCATTCCATTTAAAGTGGTACAATAACCACTCGCTTGCTTCTGGCATCTATTGTTTCCAAAACGAAAACTCGAACTTTGCTCTTGGCAACAATTGTTTCCAAAAAATATTTTTTATAAAACGATGTTTAACTCTATTTTAAGGACTGTATAGTCCTTTCAAAACGTTTGTAAACCTTTTTTTTCTATTTGTCTAATAGATTATCTTTTTTTATAGGAGAGGGGGCAAACGAGCATGCGGCTCACCTGATGGTAAGTGATTACCGCCGCCCATGACCAACTGCAACACCAGAGAGGGAATTGCAGATGCGTTGCCTGCCTTTTAAAAAGGAGTAGGCTCTTTTCTTGAAGGTCCCTAAGTTGTATCGGTCCGGAAAAATCGCTGATGGTAATCGATTCCACAAGGAAGTCGTGCGAAGAAGAAAACATCTTCTAAATCACACAGTGGTGGACCGTCAATCATTCAGATAGTGTGGATGGTATCGGGAGTTCTGTCGAGATGTGCGTTCGTGAAATTTGGCGGCTGGGATTAATCCGAACAATTCCTCAGAACACTCCCCGTGGTAGATGCGAAAGAAAATGGAAAGGGAAGCAACATCTCTTCGCAGTGCCAATGAATCGAGCCGATCGGAAAGGACTCGGTCGTCGACGATTCGAGCCGCGCTGGATGCAGTCAAGTGAAAGGAGCTGGCACCGGGGAGCCCCTGCCCAGAGATGGGAACAGTATTCATTGTGAGTCCGAATCTGCTCCTTGAAAAGTTGCAGGCGGTGTGCCGGCATGAAATACTGTCCCGCTCTGCTGAGCACGCCAAGCTTTTTAGAGGCCAATTTGGCCTTCTCTTCCAAGTGACCACGAAACTGCACGTCACTCCATATGTCGACTCCGAGGATTCCGATACTGGCTGAGGCAAGAAGGGGAGTGCCTTGAAACTGAAGAGATACTACAAAGGGGTTCTTTTTAGCGGTAAACGCGCAAACTTGTGTCTTCTGAGGATTAAACTGGACTAGATTTAGTTGCCCTCAATCCGAGACTTTGTTCAAGAAAGACTCGATTTCAGACACAAGTTTGTTCCGGTACTCGGCGACGTTTTCCCGAGAAATATTGGCACGGCCGGTGTATAGAGCATCACCAGTGCTGTCATCCGCATAGCAATGAATGTTACCAGTTAGCAACATATCATTGATATGCAGAAGAAACAGCGTTGGTGATAGCACACAGCCTTGTGGAACGCCAGCGTTAATAGGCTTGTAGTCGGAGCATGCACCGTCTACAACGACCTTGATGCACTGATCTGCAAGGAAGCTGGTGATCCAATTGCACAATTTCTCGGGAAGCCCATAGGAAGGGAGCTTCGAAAGAAGCACTTTGTGCCAAACCCGATCAAAGGCCTTCGCAATGTCCAAAATAACGGCCAACGCCTCCCCCTTGGACTGTACTACCTCCGCCCATCTACGGGTCAGGTAGACCAGAAGATCACCAGCTGATCGACCTCGACGAAAACCGTATTGGCGGTCACTAATCAGCTGGTGATCCTCAAGGTACCGCATGAGCTGGCAGTTAATAATGAATTCCATTATTTAACATCTGGGCGCAAGATTACAATATCATACAACAAATTGTTTTGTTTAATTATGAAGGAAAGTTTGAAGTTGCATTTTATGATTATTTGTGCTCAGCGTCATTGTTTGTCACGAAAAAATGCCGTAAGTATTCAAATTTATTGGTTTTTACTAAGGTTAAGGTACCAAATTAATCTAAAAATCCTGTTCTACAATACGAGGGTGGATTGAAAAGTACTCGGCCTAACACAGATCCATTCAATTCTAAAAATCAAATCTATCCACATTATTTAGTTCAGTTCAGACTAGTTCATTGTGTGAAGTTCGAAACGTGTGCGATAATTAGTTGTGATTTTATAAATTTATTAACAAAGTAATCGGACATAATTTCCGCGAATGAAGCAAATCGAGCAGCGTGCCGTCATTAAGTACCTCCATAAGAAGGGGCTATCATCAAAAGCCATCCATGATGACATGGTCAGTACATTAGGCGATTGTGCTCTGTCATATTCATCCGTCAAAAAATGGATAGCAGAATTTAAGCGTGGTAGAGAGAGTGTGAAAGATGAACCCCGCTCTGGAAGGCCTTCGACGTCAACTACTGACGAAAATATTAAAAAAGTACTTGATTTAATAATGGGAGACCGCAGATTAAAAATTAGAGAAATAGCCGAGATTATAGGCATCTCTTATGAACGAACTCAAAACATCATTGTCAACGAGTTGGGTTTCCACAAGGTGTCTGCGAGGTGGGTTCCGCGACTGCTTTCAGTTGAACAAAAAAGGACGTGATTGACTATTTCACGCGACTGTTTGGAGTTATTTGAAGCCGATGCAGATGATTTTTTGAATCGTTTTGTTACTATGGACGAAACATGGGTTCATTACTGTACACCGGAAACAAAACAACAATCAAAACAGTGGAGAAGACCTGGTTCACCACCCCCTAAAAAGGCTAAGTCGATTTTGTCGGCAAATAAGGTGATGGCTTCAGTATTCTGGGACTCGAAAGGTGTGATTATGATTGATTATCTTGAAAGGGGTCAGAATATAAACTCTGATTACTACTGCACCTTACTACGTCATTTACGAGAGGAAATAAAAGAAAAACGTCGAGGAATGCTCAGAAGAAAAGTCCTGTTTCATCAAGATAACGCCCGTGTTCACACGTCAGTACAGTCAATGGCTGAAATTCTGAAAACTGTGGCTTTGAACTGTTACCGAATCCGCCGTATTCACCTGATCTGGCACCATCAGACTTCTTTCTGTTCCCTAACCTAAAAAAGCACTTGGGAGGTCAAAGATTTTCGACAAACGACGAGGTCAAAGCAGCTGTAGACGCATATTTTGACTCTAAGGAAGAATCATTTTTTTTCAACGGTCTAAATGCTTGGAAGGGGAGGTGGCAAAAGTGTATTGAACTTGATGGTGATTATGTAGAAAAATAAAAATATAACTGATTTAGTATGTGTTTATTTTCTTGGTTAGGCCGAGTACTTTTCAATCCCCCCTCGTATTTCAATATTTTATTCATAACGCTTCCTCTTCATCGCGTTTTCGTTGACGTTGTATGTTTACGTATTTTAAAGTGGTAATTTATTTTAATTACTTAAAACTGCAGGAAACTATTTGTGAAATAATAAAGATACACATAATTTTAATCCTAAAAGGTAGAATGGTCTTATAACATCTTTAAGATGTGAACGATGTGATGAATATTGGCGACAAGTACTTACGTTATCACGAAATATTGCTCTGGAAACAATCGTTTCCAGAAAGCAAAGTAAGTTTCACCGCAAAGGGTTGGCACAAATAGCGTGCGGTTTTTTTCACGTTTGTTTATTTTATTGTGATTATTATTTATTATTGATATTTTGTTGGAACATAGTTCTTTTAAATTATTTTTTTGTAAAAGAACTAACAATACAATTTCAATTTAAAAAAAAATTATTGCATATAAATTGTATTTTATTTTCATCTCTTTTTTCATAGTAATGAACAAGTATGTGCTGGAAATGAAATGAAAAATGAAAAACAAGGACATGGAAATTGTTAGTATAGATTGCATCTTTTTGAGACTGTGTGCTCGTTTGTCACCCTATCCTATAGGATAGGGTGCGAGCACCCGAGGGTGTTTTTCTTTTTCATAAATTGATTATTTTAAAAACTGAGAATGTTCTAAAATTACTGTACAACAGCCCAGTTATACTCCAACAATCAAATTTAACAAACTTAAATATTAAAAGAAAATCATACAGACATAACCACAATTCTTCTTAAAATGTTCTTGAAAATAAATCAAAACTGGTTCAGTAGCTAAATTCCTTCTTATGTTTTTGTCGAAAAAAAATTATTGAATTGGTTAAAGTTTTGGAAGAAGATGCAGGGGAATACAGGATTATAATTTCATTAATTTTTGTAGGTATTAAGCAATAGTAAAGTCCCAAAAGCAATAGATTGTTAAAAAACCTTTTTTTTTCAATTTCTTGCAGCCCAGATATCATCTTATTGCATTATTAATGCCCAATGATAGTAGGAAAGGTACTCAAGTGACAATGCCCTACTGACATACATTATTAGCATATGAACCAACAGTCCCAATAATCATTTTCTGTATTCTAAATGATGACTAGCCATAACTGAAATTATATTATACTTACTATCAATATCTTTCTAAATCTCAATAAATAATACCACATCTGTTATAAAAACAAGTTATTTTCATATCTTTAACTATTTAGTTTTACCTGTAAATCGTCCAGTTGGAACACCAGCATTTTTATCAGTCTTTTTACGAGCTTGTGGGATTGCATGAGAATTGTGCGCACAAGCCAACTCTGGTGTATTTCCTATTGCCCATCCTTTGTTTTCTGGATTCATGCCAAGAGTATGATGCTGAAATGAAATTATAATAGTAATTAAAAAAAATATTAATAAATATTAGACAGAAATATATTATTATCTCACTCATCATTTCTTAATATATAATTCTTAGCTAGAAAGCTTAAATACATTATGTATATCAGATAATAGAGCAGAATTCATTATTACAAATGATGTTTGTGCACACCTTTAACCTGCTGAGTGTTTCTCCTAAGTGCAGATTGGGGCAGTTTAATAAAATGGAAAGAAGTGCGTGAGTAGCGCAACTGTTAGGCACCATTTGCTGCGCAAAAAATATATTATTGATAGTTTCCTCATCACGTACAAAACTTTCTATTTGTTCAACAAATTTACGACGAGATCGTCTTTCTTCTATCCATCGAAATAAAAAAATAAAGCCATATACTGGACTCTCAAAGGGCTTATGCAAATCATATATTTCTTCTACTTGGACACCTTTTACTCCAAAATCTTCCAATAGTAAAGTAAACAAGCCGGGATCACTTTCTAATTCCAGCCAACCTTCTGTTAGGCTGTTTAACTCAACCGGCATATTTTTCATAAATATGGTGGTTCCCAATTATTGTAAAGCAATATTTGATATGCAAATTATTGCTAGTAATAATGTAGTTTTAATACATCAGTGATTCTTAAATAATGAAACTAAAGCACTGCTCTTAAAGTATAATAAAAATAAATATTAAATATGTATGGTGTATAGGTCTAAAAGCACAATTCACAATAACAATAACAACACAACAACATTTTTAATAACTGGTTTACGGCTCTGGGTTCTAGGCCTTCTGAGATACAACACAACAATCAATAAAGTTGTCATAGATAAATAAGTATGTAGCAGTGCGTAGACTTAGTATCTTATAGTCAATCCACTATCTACGTAGCAGTGTAGCTATAATATAATGTTACCCAGTATCAAAGAGAGTATAACCACTACCAGGCTGGTGCAATTTTTATGCTAAACATTATGTGTAATACAGGGGTCAAATTTTAATGACGGTTGGACATTGTCAATTCAAATAGGCTCAAATGTCAAATCAAACAATTACATTTTTATATATTTTATTTCTTAAGATTTTTTTTAAATTTTGCTAGGAACCGTTGTTCATTGACAAAATTGTTAAAAAATTAAATATGCATTATAAAACTTGTCAATTAAACGGTGCAAGAAGCGGAAAAAATAATAAGAAAAGGCTATTCCTAGCAATATCTCCCTTAGATGATGAAAGGTATGTGGTGATTTCAACTTTAATTGTAATATGATATTTAACGCGAGTACATTTTTGGACTAGCCATCTACGTAGGACAGGTTTTTATAGTGTACGATTATGTGCACAATTACAAACACACTATTTCCTAAATCTAATAGTTCGATGGGATGACAATCCGAAACGAACTATACTTAGAAACTACATTATCAATTGTGACTGCTAACATTCTATTTGTTCAATAAAAATGTGATTTTATTTATATTATTTTTTCATATGGAATCAATGGGTGAAATATCTAGTACATGCACCAATTGAAAAGATTCACATGTTAAAACATATTTGTGGCAAACTTTTGTGGTTATATCCATAAAATTATTTATACATTTATTGCACTATGTAATAGTGCAATAAATTATTGCACTATGTAATAGTGCAATAAATGTCTATCCTCGAATAATTTTCTCTAATAGACTAATATTGCAAAAATAATTGATTTTCAATAATTTTTTTCTCAAAAAGTACGCATTTCCGCATGTTGAAACTTTGCGTGTGTGCTTATAATAATGTAACCTTTCTGTAAAAACCCCAACGCGACGGACGTCAATGGAAAATCGTACCCAAAAATGTACTTGTGTTAAATATCATATTACAATTAAAGTTGAAATCACCTCATACCTTTGACCATCTAAGGTAAATATTGCTTGGGCAGGGGGTGATAAGAATCTCCGGTGGAGGTTCGGTTGCCACCTACGACGACTTGACCTGGCAACTTGTAACGCACGCACCCTTAGGATTAACGAGAAGATCCTGGAGCTGGAAGAAGAGATAGACAAGTTACGCTGGCATATTATAGGATTATCCGAAGTCCGAAGAGAGGGGGAGGACACGGTAATCCTCAAATCCGACAACTTGCTCTATCACCGGGAGGGCGACCATCTGTCCCAAGGAGGTGTCGGATTTATCGTCCACAAGTCTCTCGTTAACAACGTTGTAAAGATTGGGAGTGTGTCGACGAGGGTTGCGTACCTTATACTCAGAATCACCAAACGGTATTCGCTGAAGGTCATACAGGTTTACGCACCAACCTCGGCACACCCCGATGAGGAGGTGGAGGAAATGTATGATGATATCTCTAGAGCCATGCATTCCTCCAAAACCCACTATACGGTGTTAATGGGAGACTTCAACGCAAAACTAGGCACAAGAGAGAACGGTGAGCTGAAAGTAGGGAATTTTGGAATAGGGCAACGGAACCCAAGGGGCCAGCAGCTGGCCGACTTCATGGAGAAAGAGGGACTCTTTATGATGAAGTCTTTCTTCCAGAAGCGGCCTCACAGGAAATGGACCTGGTTGAGCCCCGACGGTTCGTCAAAAATGAGATTGACTTCATTATGACGACCAGACGACAACTGTTCAGTGATGTCTCAGTGATCGCGAGGGTGAAAACCGGCAGCGATCACCGAATGGTGAGAGGCACATTGAACCTAAACGTGAAGTTGGAGAGGTCACGTCTAATGAAGTCAACGCTCTGTCCCCCTCGTGCTCTAATCCAAAGTCCCGAAACCTTTCAGCTCGAGCTACGAAACCGTTTTCAGTGCCTAGAAGATTGCAATGCAGTGGATGATATGAATGACAAGCTCGTGGAAACTGTCCATGCGGTCGGAGCTAAGTTTTGCAAGACCCGCCGCAGAAGAACACAAAAACTCTCCGATCACACTCTTAATCTCATGGCTGTTAGACGGGATATGAAGCTGCAGTCTTCAATAGATTTGACAGCATACAGGAAACTGAACAGACAGATCTCCAAATGCATGCGGCGGCACTTACGCAACTTTAATACTGCTCGTATTAAAGAAGCGATCGAGCGGAACCAGGGCTCCAAAGTCTTTGCTAGAGATCTGTCTGCCAGAAAGAGCCAACTGTCGAAGCTGAAGACCGAGTGTGGCAGCGTCGTTTCCGGCACACCTGAGATTTTGAGTGAGATTGAGAGGTTCTATGGGCAGCTGTACACATCATCGATGGAGCCACACGTAAGTGTGAATAACGATCCAAGAGCGAGTCTTATCCGACACTATTCCGATGATATCCCGGACGTCAGTCTGAGCGAGATTAGAATGGCTCTCCAGCACCTTAAAAACGGCAAGGCCCCAGGCGAGGATGGAATTACTGTAATTTAAGTTTCGGGGATATAACGTCACCCTATCTAACACCTCTCTGCAATTGGATAGGTTTCGTACTCTGGTTCTGTACTCGGATAGCCACCGTAGCTCTACTATACAAGCACCACCCAAATTTCGACGGAATCAAAGGCTTTCTCATAGTCCACATACGCCAGGCATAGTGGCAAATTGTACTTCTCGGACTTCTGTACAACTTGCCGAAGGGTATGTATGTGATCTATGGTGCTAAAGCCCTTTCGGAAACCGGCTTGTTCGGTAGGTTGGAAGTCTAAAGTCTGCGTGCGAGACGATTCGTAATGACTCTCGAAAACAGCACGTAGACGCGGCTCAGAAGGGAAATCGGCCTGTAGTTCTTCAAGAGAGCATTGTCACCTTTCTTGAAGAACAAGACCACCGCACTTCTGCTCCACGCCTCCGGTGTAGTGCCACCATGGAGGACGGAATTAAAGAGCTTCTGAAGGACTTCAAGTACCGGTTTTCCACCCGCTTTCAGAAGCTCCGCTGTAATTCCATCCTCGCCTGGGGCCTTGTTGTTTTTAAGATGCTGGAGAGCCATTCTAATCTCGCTCAGACTCACCGGATGTCGGGAGTAGTGTCTCTTCGGATAAGACTCGCTCTTGGATCGTTACTCACACTTGCGTGTGGCTCCAACGATGACGTGTACAGCTGTCCATAGAACCTCTCAATCTCACTCAAAATCTCAGGTGCCCCGGAAACGATGCTGCCACACTCGGTCTTCAGCTTTGATAGTTGGCTCTTTCTGGCAGAAAGATCTCTGGCAAAGACTTTGGAGCCTTGGTTCCGCTCGATACAAGCTTCAATACAAGCTGTATTGAAGTCCCGCCGCATGCGTTTGGAGATCTGTCTGTTCAGTTGCCTGTATGCTGTCAAATCTGTTGAAGAATGTAGCTTCATATCCCGTCTAACAGCCATGAGATTAAGAGTGAGATCGGAGAGTTTTTGTGTTCTTCTGCGGCGGGTCTTGCAGAACTTAGCTCCGACCGCATGGACAGTTTCCACGAGCTTGTCATTCATATCGTCCACTTCATTGCAGTTTTCTGGGCACTGAAAACGGTTTTGTAACTCGAGCTGAAAGGTTTCGGGACTTTGGAACAGAGCATGAGGGGGACGGAGCGTTGAATTCATTAGACGAGACCTCTCCAACGTAATGTTTAGGTTTAGTGTGCCTCTAACCATTCGGAGATCGCTACCAGTTTTCACCCTCGCGATCACGGAGACATCACTGAACAGTTGTCGTCTGGTCGTCATAATGAAGTCAATTTCATTTTTGACGAACCGTCGGGGCTCAACCAGGTCCATTTCCTGTGGGGCCGCTTCTGGAAGAAAGAGTTCATCATAAAGAGTCCCTCTTTTTCCATGAAGTCGGCCAGCTGCTGGCCCCTTGGGTTCCGTTGCCCTATTCCGAAATTCCCTACTTTCAGCTCACTGTTCTCTCTTGTGCCTTGGTTTTGGAGGAATGCATGGCTCTAGAGATATCCTCATACATTTCCTCCACCTCCTCATCGGGGTGTGCCAAGGTTGGTGTGTAAACCTGTATGACCTTCAGCGAATACAGTTTTACAACGTTGTTAACGAGAGACTTGTGGACGATAAATCCGACACCTCCTTGGGACAGATGGTCGCCCTCCCGGTGATAGAGCAAGTTGCCGGATTCGAGGTTTCCCGTGTCCTCCCCCTCTCTTCGGACTTCGGATAATCCTATAATATGCCAGCGCAATTTGTCTATCTCTTCTTCCAGCTTCACGATCTTCTCGTCAGTCCTCAGGGTGCGTGCGTTGTACGTTGCCAGGTCGAGTCGTCTAAGGTGGCAACCGAACCTCCACCGGAGATTCTTAGCACCCCCTGCCCCGCCGTTACCATGGTCACCACCGTAGCCAGGAATAGCGGGGCCGCCGGGGACTGGGGGCCGTCTGTTTGTTGCTCTAATCATTGGGGGGTATTTGCCATAGTTGCCACGCTTGGCGAGCAGGTTGGCAACTGCAGTTTTTTTATTGTAATTTTGGCTATTATCAGGAAGATGCTGCTGCCCATCTCCTGCCTGTTTCCCTTTGTCGCCTTTTACGACACCCACGGGAAGATATGGGGTAGTGGATATTCTTGACCGCCACTACATGGCAATATATTATTTATTAGAAATAAATTATTTCTTCAAAAGTACCACTTATTAGTTATAAACAGGCGACTTATCCACTTTGAATTGAAATTCTTCACTTTGATCCTTCAACTGAGCTATTTGTAAACAATGAAAACATTACTAAACCTTCAAGCGGGCGCGCGGTCATTTGTGACGGCAGCTGTCACACGTAACCTAAAAGACTTATGGGATATGTCAGGAATTTAAAAACTAATTAATTTATAATCATTTATTTTATTGTACTCACACACATAATCATTATGTAAGGACACAATTTATCGAAAAAAAAATTAAAATAATGTTAAAATCGTGTAAAAACCAAATTTTAAAAACTAAAAACATAACATAACTTTTCTTCGGATTAATTATGTCTACGATTGCCTTCTTTTTTACTGGAGATATCGCAGCTTGATCTGCATGTGTTGGAACTACTACTTAGCTTGCTTGTTTTATTATTAGTGTCTTCAACACTCATATTCAAATGCTCTCTTATCTTTCTTTTGAGTTTCCTTGGAAGGTTTATCATCATTACTCTTATTTCAATATACTCTTGAATGAATTAATGAAATATAAGTCTAGAATGAATGAAATAAAAGTCTTTATTTTGTCCAAGTTCATGGATGTTGGATGAAAAACCGATATTTAAAGTCCTTTAGAAGCTGTTCAGTTCCATCCTCCTTGGTGGCCTGGACTATGAAATCGCCTTTGATTCCGTCGAAATTTTGGGCGGTGCTACGGAGTGGTAATACCTACTAATTTACATCTTTGTGTGTACAAGATGTATTAAATAGGTAGATTAAAAAAATAAAGGGTTCGTAAACGGAAATCCTATGTTAATTAGTATTTAGTATGCTTTTATTACACCAGAGTAATGGACACTGCTTCATTTCCAGCTGATGTTAAGATTTATACAATTATTAAGCTTCTGCTCTCGTAGAGAATATAATTGAGAATAATTTCACTGTCACTTGTTTCTGACAGTACATGTTGATTTTTCTCTGAATTAATTTCACCAATGTAATGTTGTAACGAATCCCGATTCGCCGTAAGATATTATATCCTACTGGGAGATAATACAATATAATATAATAACTTTATTTCAGGCATCAAGGACTTAAAAATTAAGAACATTGACCCTTAGCAATATATACCTTAACCTAAAAATATATATAAAATATAGACGTAACACTATTTAAGGAACTTTTTTCTTGAGCGCGTCCCTGTATCGGCGCAACACTACCCCAGAAGGACAGAAATCGGGAGCGAGGAATGTCTCTTTGTGTTTTGCAGGAACCTGGAGTACGTAGGATTTGAAGTTCGTTGACCTATTAGACTCCAGACGCTGCAAATGTAAAGAGATCGGATCCTCAATGCGGCATCGGCTTCGTTCTTCCACGAAACGCAGGACGTCTTCTCCCGACGTACTTTTGTCCAAACGGGAGATGTAGAGCTGCATAGTTGGCTCCACAGCACGCAGAGTTAAGAGATAAGCTTTTCATATTTTTGGATAAAGAAATAAAACATCATATCATTGTAACAACATTTATTTTGTATGTACACTTAAGTTTCGCAACTTTGCATAATGTACGAATAATAAATGCACAACTTCAGCATTGTAAAATTTAACTCAAAAACTCGAAAGCACGAAGGTCGAGATATTCATTAAAAACCACAACTTTTTAAATTTCTGTTACAGTTAAATTAGTGTATAATATTAGAAATTGGTCCCAGTTTATTATAAGCTCACTGAAAATGAAATTAAATATTACATTAAAATTAAAATATAACAAATATATCCTTTGATTTTTATTGCAATGTGTTTGGCCAAAACCAATGAAATGGCTGAAGTTGAAAGAGTAGAAATTTTGAACGTTAGTTGTTAAACTTTGGTATTCAATGAGAATGCTATACCTACGTATATTCTTAAAAATAGGTAAGAAATAATGAGAAATAATTGGCAAAACAAATCACATAATGAATACTCGTTACCCCTATGCAACTGTACATTGCAGCTTTTTGTTACTTAAGAGCAACTGCAATTTGCATGTTGTTTTTTTAAATGAGTCAATTAAGATAATATAATATTACTTTTATGGTGAATGTTGTTTTGTTTAACTAAATGATTTCACGCGTAGAAAAATAAGAAGCTAAACAATGCAACAGCATACATAAATTTATGTTAACGTACTTTTAAAATGTTCATTTTAGTGGAAATATATTATCACTTATATTGCGAACTGCAATTTGGAATATCTTTCAATCTTTCCCAGCCTGTATTGTTTTAGCATGCTGCATCAAATACATTTGTCGTCTTTATAATAAGATTAGAGTGATACAGTGGTGTGGTATATGTTAAGACCATGGATTTTTAAAGCATCATACTTCATATATGTTGTGCAATAATGATGTATACAAATAATAAATATCTATGGATGTTGGTGACTAAATGTAAAGAATTGTAGTCGTTAACTTGAGTTCTAGGACTAGAATAACTTTGAAACGGGTTAGTATATTCATAACTACTAATTAATACATCTATGTATGTACTTAAATACAATGTGAATTAAATAGAGCTCACAGAAATAATGGTTGAACATTGCATTAGTAGTTTGGTCTCCATAAAAACAATTAATTTTCGTTATTGTATTAAAACATTTCCAATCATTATTATGAAACTAAAGAAATTTAATAGAAAATAGGAAATGTATTAAGCTAGGTTAAGAAGCTTGTGACCAACATGATGACAGATAGCTCAAAAATTTAAAGTCATAATTATTATTTAAAATGAGCAATACCTACTCAAGCAACATAATATGTATTCTAATAAATGCTATCCATGATATAGAGTTGTTAGCCACATTTTGTTCGAATAATTTTATATGTTCCAATAAATGGCACAATACCATACAGTGGTTTATTAGTAGTTAACTAAATAATGTTGTGTTTTAAAGGTTTCTTTAATTCTTTACATAGGCACATGTTTATAAATCATTGCTTTGCCTACGCATATTATGTTCCTGTAACTGAAATATGTAACTTTTTAATTTTTCATGTTTCATTTAAAAACTTCTTTTTTAATATTATATACAGTAAAACTATATTAGGTAACGTAGTATTAAGTTATAACAATTAAATATCACATAAGTACCTACGCGTCACTCCAAAGTTTGACAGCCTAAATTAATATTTAAAGTTTCATGTGTGATATGCTTGACGTACATATAATAATACCGTAATATTACAACAATGGATATGTACGCACTCGTTGAGACTGTACTTATACAAAAATATGCTTAATGATTATTTACAAGTCTCACTACATGAAACAGCAGTCGATTTAAAGTACTAACACAGTTGTTGAGCCTAGTTTTCATCTGATAGCATGCGTTGGCCTATATGGTGGAGGTGGGGTTTTAGGCACTTGGGCTTGAGGATGATTTAGTGGGATGTGTACGGGAGCGATATTCGTTGTATGAACGGAGGCTTCATCCAATTGTCCAGGGATAATGGGTGACTCGGATGACGCTGTGGAGGGTTCTAGACGCGTGCTGCTTGTGGCGGGAAGCAACCTCGCCGGATTTAGCTTAATAGCATCGTCATAAGTTGGCGGCGCTCCCGCCACTGTTTCGTAATCGGGCGGTTTTTGCTGCATTGTTTCTTCGTCCGGCATCGAAATCACGTGGATGGGATCGTCAATCTGCAACAACGGAAAATATTTTTTATTGGTGAAAAGAAATTTAATAAATCGCCTTAATTTTTCGAACGTAACGAAAGCCTTTGTCTGCAATAGTTCTAGTTCTAGTGATCCTTGACGAAAATCAATTAACGTCAGTAGGTACATAATAAATAATTAGGTAGTCTTTGCGTTTAGATTACTCTATTCCACGAAAAATAAATATAATAAAAATATTTTTACGTGGTAGAGCCATGCTGCAGCTATATTATGGTTGTAGCACGAATGGGTCGGTTCGAACGGGGAAGGACCACGCTCTCACAGAAAACCAGCGTAAAATAGCAGCTTAACGCTACTGTGTTTCGTATGGTGAGTGTAGAGAACCGGAGACCCTTTTTACTGGCAAAGAGGCATTCCATCTTAATCCTCACGGGTGACAACGCATGTGCATCTTGAGTCTTTATTGAGGATAGATGTAGATGTCTATGGGTCACAGTAACCACTTACCATCAGGTGAGTGCTCGTTTGTCACCCGATCCTATAAAAAAAATATAAATGTGAAAAGGGAATCAAGTTTGGTACAAACGACTTTCGGGGTTGTCATCTTAGTATTAGATAAAAGAGTTAATATCTATATGCAATAAAAATGTTGAACCTAAATCTTACCAATCGGCTAGGAAGCAGCATTTACCACGTGATGAACATGGGCAAATATTTCAAGGCATGCATGGTAGTTGGCGCATTCTTGAAAAACCTTAGGACTCTAGGAGTGGAATGTTGATAAAATGATGTGCCAAAAAAGTTTATCAATATTACGTGTAAGTTGGTGGCTGTGTGGTGGCATCGTTAGAGAATCCATCACCCTATTATTTCGTCTCATGGGTTGCGTAAGAGGCGACTATGTGAAATAGCAGAAGAAAGTCATGTCCTCCGATAGATGGCGGTATGCTATACCATTTACGCTAGACTTAAAATGCATAGACCGGCGACGGGTATTAGCGTGAAGGTTACGAGTCATATAGTACTGCGATCGTCATTCCACCTGCCAAGCGAAACGATTAAGACAAATGCTCCCTAACGGGCTGATGAAAAAAAAAGAAGATCAATAAACGTTAATGGTAAAATTACAAACCTGGTGAGTGTCAGGCGAAGCGCGATCGTTGTGTGGTTGACGCGCGGGCGACTGCAGCCAGCAGCACATTGCAGCACAGATAAGCAATGCGCCGGCAACGATGCAAGCCACACCTACATAGCGCACCGGCTCTGCGTAGTCCTCAGCCAGCCCCAGCCAGTTGATAAGTGCGCCCGCGCACAGCAGCACCATGCCGTAGCGGTATGGCCGCTGGGACTGTCTGCCTTCGTCGAGAGACATCCCTGGAAAAAAAATATAATGGTTTTAATTTTATTGTCATTTCAGTCAATTTTAGATAACGTTAATATCTGTGAACTAATAGTCAAAAGTCGATGTCATTTAGCAAAATGAATTTAAAAGTAAAGGTAAATAACCAGCTAAACTATATAACAAAATTCAAATCAGAAACACGGAAACACGGAAAGAGTTGGTCATTTGGCTCACTGGGGCAATAGCGCTTCAATAACGGGACCCCACTATTCACAAACCGGTAAGTTTAAAAAGAAAGTTGGGAAAGTTCACAATTGAATGAAGATAACTAATTTTATACCAGAGTTGTTCATGTTGCAAGAAACTGGAGGCGACTAATTAGTATGAGGAAATATGTTTCGGAAGGATTAATGAGGAAAGGTCGTAAGTCATAAGGTGTAAGACATCAGGGCGACTGTGTGATCGAGGCCAGGCACAAGCAGAGACAATGGAGTCTTAAGAGATGTGGGTCAAGTTCAAATCGTACGGTCGAGCGCCGCTAGCTTAGTCACGCACTGACGACTTCCATAAATGTCATATCTTAATGATTGTAATCAAATAACTGCTATGGACTTCTTGATGATCAAAAAGAAAAAAAGGGTACGTAATGAAACGGCACACAATGGATGGTAGTATTGGGTAGTGGATTCTCTTAGGCCTCTACTACACGGCGCATCTCTATATTTAATTATAATTATTTAAAACAAATTCAAATTTTAGAATTGTGAATTTTTTTTTTCATAAACCATTCTCATTCTTGAAAAATGTATATAATCATCGGTGATTTGCGCGGCAATTACTGATCGTGCAACTTCTAAACGACAACCGATTGCGGTCAATTTCACATCAGAGCAACAAAATAGTTAGACGGAGGACGGAGGAGGAGGGTGCTTTGTACACATTTTAGACGACGCCGAAACCATACTCAACTTCTTGAGATGCTCACATATTCAGCCTAAAACTATAACATAGGTTGGAAATGATTTTAGATGCATAATGTGTACGTGAGTGCGTGTTCTTACGATAAGTTGAGCATACGTGGTAGAGCCATGCTGCAGCTATATTAGTAGTATAGCTGTAGCACGAATGAGTCGGCTCGACCGAGGAAGGACCACGCTCTCACAGAATACCAGCGTAAAATAGCAGTTTAACACTGCTGTGTTTCGTATGGTGAGTGTAGAGAACCGGAGACCCTTATTACTGTAAAAGAGGCATTCCATCTTGTCCTCACGGGTGACAACATATCTGCATTTTGATTTGCAAACGAGGATAAATGTAGATGTCTATGGGCCACAGCAACCACTTACCATCAGGTGGACTATGTGCTCGTTTGTCTCCCTATCCTATATAAAAAAATTGTGTGGGCGTGCTTTAGGCGTCACTTGAAATGTACGTAGTGCTGCGTCTCTCTATCTTTTACGAGTTTGTTTTGTCTAAACGATAGTTCCTTGCTATACTAGCCTTACATATGCCCAACTTTTATGGATAAATTATGCTCTAAAGTATTAGCAAATTATATAGCTATGTTCCAAAAGATAATTAACGATATGATCTGTTAACGCTATTAATGTTAATAATGAAGCTATAAACTTGTACTTTGTAAAAAGTCCGGAGTGTAAAGGTACCATTCCGTTGCCAACCGCAGACAGCAGCAGCAGGCGACGTGTCGTCGCGACACTACTGGTTTCTATGTAGTTCTATGACATACCTTCCGTAACTAGCGACACGTTTGCCGGAGCGGCAGACGCCATGTCGCCCGACCGCAGATCAGTGTTCTCAATATATTTATATTGAAGGCGGTTGTACAAAATTTTTAAATTTACCACTTGTTCACATAACTTTAGAAATACAATTTGAGATTATAGACATTTACACATGTTTCTTCAGAAATCTTTCGTTTTGTTAAAACTCATCATTACCTCTTTCATGAGAGCCGAATATAACAGGATATATCGTCCAAAACATCTTCATTATCGATAAGTCTGCATTACAGACGTGTAATACTTTATTAGAATCTTCGGTGTAAATAAGTTTTCTAGAAAAACGTGATATTGTTCCGTCACTTTAAGGCTACACTTGTGCAAACCATTTAAATTATTATTGTGAAGTAAATAGAAGGCGTGTTGTTTTATGCGATATCGAAACACTACGGCAGTAAGTTATGAAAACAAAATACGAGAGATATCTTATCCGGTTGGATAAATTCTAGTATGTGCTCAATGATAAGGGAAGGGACAGACAGACCTTAACATATTGAAAAAATGTTGAGATATTGTTTTCCCATTCAATCAAAATGTCAATATGCAAATGACAGTTCAAATTATTACTGATAACTTTTCTCATAAGACAAGTGAGTAAAGAACATGCAAGTATAATAATAATATGTAGTTTGCCGCTATAGCGGATATTTCATCGACATTAAAACCCCTTGGTAGTCAATGTCGGAGACGCATTTACTGCTGGGGGCGCCCATTAATTACGTGAGGTGCTTCGGGTAGGAGGGATTGATATGAATCTCATCCAATCTCACGTGGGGAAGAGAGAGGATCTCGGCAACGTTTTATTTCGCCAGAAACAGTGTAAATTTTTGAGTAAATTAGGTTAAATTAAGTAAAATATACACAATAATATTTATCACTTCACAAATTATATAAAATAATTAAGAAAATCATGTTTGTTTTTAAGTAAACAAAATAAAAAAAATTAAAATACGCATTGAGATTTGGCGGCGTGGGTGAAGTGGTAGAGCCATATCTCACGGCATCTCACCAGGGGAAGGGGAAGGGTAGAAAATTAACAAAATCGCCTCACGTAATTAATGGACACCCCCTAAAAATGTATTTTGTAATATTGTTAAAATTTTTATGATAATAATATGAATGAAGTAAGCAAAACAAATAAAATTGAGCCAAAACTGGAATACTGAACTGGTTTAAATGGGCTTTGTGGTAAATCTATGGGAAAGGCAATAACCTATGTAATCATAATTCATTTACAGTACCTAACATGTAATATTAAAAAAAATATTTATAACCTTTTTATGTTCCCCGTATTAAACGATGACGAGACTTGTAACATAATGAAATATTATCTATATAAAAAGAAAGTCCCTGGCGAGTATCTGTCCTTCTGTACGACCGCGCTGATCTTGAGAACCACGCAACGAATTTGCATCCGGTTTTCACTGCTATTCTCTGTATCCATTCAGAAAGTTGTGTGTGTTGAAATATTGCCCTAGAACTAAGCATTAACGTTACTATTAGTGAATTAAGTCTGGAAGTGTTTGCCGCCAAACACTCCCTCACTCTTTATTGTTTATAACACTGTAAAAACGGGCCAAAAACTTCTACGTATACTAGACGGGCACTACTGTACTAATGTATTCGCGAATTCGCGATTAGTTACGGTCTCAAGTATTGCCAGATGTACGATTCACAAGTCCACTACTCTCCTAAGAAATGCAGAAAAGAAGTCACAGTGCCCGCGATTCTCTAATCTCTAATGGTGGATTATGTAGTCACAGGTTCGAATCTCGCTCCAAAATTAGATATCGAGTTTTTCTGTCGAAAATTTAATTGTAGCAGTCCGGAGTCAGAAAATTGGTCGCGTTTCACTCTCTCCGGTCGTGTCAGATTGCCATGCCATCGGACTAACCATTAGAGTGTGGGAATATAGGTGCTATTAGTCTTTGTTGAGACTGGCCACCGTGACCATAAGTCGGTCAGGAGGACATTATTACATCGGTACAAGAAAAGTTTTGACTATAATTTTATGCGACAAAATGTAGGTAATTGTGAAATTCGTTAACTTCAAAAATAGAAAACTGTATTTGAAAGACTGGATGTAATTTACCCACTTTTTCTTCACTATTTTGGTAACCTGTCTGTAAAATAATAGTCACTACTTACTGACCGAAGTGATCTAAAAAACCGAATATTTCTTTATAACGTTAAATAGTAAATGGTTTAGTAACATAATCAATGAAAACATACAATATTATGTACCTAAATGTGCGGACGCACGACGTAGAGTCGAAGAAACGTATTTAATTAACGCGGACTTAATGCCGCAGCCTTGGGTGTTTTCTAGCAGTATAATTATCTTATAATATTGCAAAGATAAATATATATTCCTAACATATCCTTCACTATTAAAAGAAAAGGACATTCAATAATATTATAAAAACAGACATTAGCATAGGTACGAGTAGCTAATATGCGTTCAGTCAGATGACACGCAGTTGTAAGCAGTCGATGCGGTGTGCGCCCACACGTCGCCGATGTAGGGCTTCCTCAGCCGTCCTCGCGTCCGTTTTCCTAACGCGATGTATTTGGTAACAGGATTAAATCCACCCTCGCTATTTACCTATATCATTGTCTACTGTATACATTTTATTTAAAAATAATAAAAATCACGTATTGTTTATCATAAATTTACATACATACATATAATCACGCCTCTTTCCCGTAGGGGTAGGCAGAGACCAGTTCTTTCCACTTGCTACGATCCTTACATACTTGTTTTGCTTCGTCCACTTTCATTATTCCCTTCATACATGCTCTACGATTTAGGGTACTCTTGACCTGGCCTTTAGGCCAATAAATTTCTGGCTTTAAATATTCTAAATTTATTGTTTTATCGAGACTTCAAATATCGTTTAATAATTTAATGCTGATAAGAGCAAACTGCATAATGTGTGTGAGTTGATGAAAAATGTTTGCCATCAATAAACAAAAATCTTTATCAACTTTAAAAATGTTAGATAAGTTTTAAATGTTAAAAATTTACTTTTATTGTATGTACTTGTATGTAATGTTATGGCAATAATTTAAACTATAATTTTTAATGTCACTTTTTTATTTATAAAAAGTTAAATGTTAAACATTATTTGTAGACGCCTAAGCAATGTTTTTGAACTTAATTATTATGCGCATAAACAGGATTATCTCGAGTCATAAAACTTTCTATTCGTTACCGTTTTAAAGCATATCGA